TTTGTAACGAGAAACGCTTGTGTTTGCTTGTAATGAATTAAAAAAAAAGAATGTTTGTGTTTGCAATAAATTAAAAAAAAGAATGTTTGTAACGAGAAATCGAGAAATGGTTGTGTTTGTAACGAATAAAAAAAAGAAGATTTGTAACAAAAAATTGATGTGTTTGTAGCGAATAAAAAATTTTTGAAAGTTCGTAAAAAAACAAAAAAAAAAAAGTTCAATTATTTGTTTAAAGAGAAAAAAGTCATATTCTACACATTTTTGATCAATCTTCGAGTTAATCGGCTAATCGTGAAAAAAAGGAATGAAAACAATCTGACTGCTGGGAATGATTCAGGCAGATAAGTACGTAATTGCAGTTTTGGGGTGTTTCATAAGGGTTAATATGAGGACTTGGAGTTTCTTGATAGAAGGAACCGTTTAGATCGTCAGTTGAAAAGGAAGATATATTTTGATCATTAATTGGCATTATTTGATCATTGTGAGAATATAGAGAATATAACGAGGGTTGAGTATTTTGAAAAATTTCAGTAGTCTCAATAGTTTCGGTAGTCTCGTAAGTGTTAATATTGGCAACAGTAGTAGTATGACTATAAGGATGTGATAAGGAATCACTAGCAGAAAATGAATTAGGGGAGGAATTAAGAGAGGACGTGATGTTTTGATCATTATTTGACATTCGTTCATCGTAAATGACGGGAGAAAGATCGGTAATGGACACATTTTGATATGCATTAGCAGCAGGCTTTGGACCGCGTTTATTACCCTTTTTAAAAGTACAATCCAGATTTCGTTTATTACAGTTTGTACATTTCTTTTCTCCAGAAAGTTTATTGCATTTTCCGTGTCGTTTTCGACAATTTGTACACGCTACAGTTGAGTTATTACGTTTTTCTTGTTGAGACATTATTTTACGCGCGTAAAAACCAAAACTAAGGGTTTGAAAAAAAAAAAGGAATAATTCGAAAGAATCTTATATATCAAATAATTTACTGCAGTACAATTAATTAAATAAATTTAATTCGTGCCAATTTAACAAGACTTCGCGTTATTATATAGTACGTTTATATAACTAATATATATATTGACATACATGTTAATTACATATTTTTATTAATGTAAATGGTTTAGTGGTCATATGATGTAATCGAGAGACATCTCCATTATAATATAATATAATTTTAAATCTATATTATATCTTAAAATTTTGCCTATGAAATAGCTTTTGTGCTCTAACAAAAAAATTCTTGAATTGCTTGCTAAGTTCAAATTGTAGCTTCAGATTAATTAATAGCATAGCTTTAATGAATTAGCGTCGGTATAAATTGATCGGAGTTAGAATCGCATAATTAATGCGCATGATTTTCTCATAATGATAGTATGTCTACCAGGTTTAATTTTATTTTGTGAAATTATTGTTTCTTTAAATTTTAAAAGTTTCATTACATACAGGACTTGTCAGAATTGCCTCCAATAAAAACATACATATGACATGTTTAATATTTTAATATTCGATCAAATCATAAAATTTTTATCAAAAAAGAGAACCAAGTATTTTAGAAAATGCATGCCAATTTCAAAGTGTACCGGTAATCATAGATAAAAAAAAGAGATTAGTAAAAGAAAAATAAATATGTATTAACAATTAGTCATTAAATATTTATGTTTTGTACCATATTTTCGCGTAATACGTAGCATTATTCTGAAAATAATGTGGAGGGGCTTTGGAATGGCGTCCATGTGCGTCGCACATGCTTAAATTTATACTGGATGTTTGTTCTAGCATTTATAACATGGCCTATAATATCTTGAAAGATATCTCGTCGAATAATAAAAACAATTCAGTATATGCAACACTTTTTAAAGTAATAAAATCTTATGTTAGGGATAAAATAAAGATCGCACTATAGCATGTTCTATGCCATAATTTGGCAAGAAATTGTTTTTTTATTAGAGCGCAGAATGGAGTTTCATTGGCAGTTTCTTCAAAACAGATGCATGACTTTCACGTTACAGCTGATTTAGTGTTCTGATTGGTGTTCGTGTTTCGGGCGTGATTGCTGTTTCAGGATTGTTATTGTTTCAATTGCTTCAGGATTGTTTCAGGTTATTATTAGAAACTGGTGCTAGTGAAATCTGAAAGCCAATTACGGTCAACTCTATACATAAAATAGAAACCAGCGTGAGTTTACCAAAAGTATTTCGACGCTATTAAATTGCCAAAATAATTACAGATTGCAAAAATAATTACAACATACTCGTCTATTATTAAATTTCTAAAATAATTACAACATAGAAGTCTATTACTGTATTATTAAAGTTATCTACAAGCCCAATTACTGAATTATATGAATAGATCTCAAAATACTTATTCATTTTTCACATGTACAAATTTGCTCATATGATAATGCAATCATGTTTATTCGAATTAAAACTCGGTTATTTGTGAAATTTTCCAATATTATGCATTAATTGTATACATTATATAACGGCAATCAAGGTTCTGCAGGTTTTTATCGGAAAAATATCCCTTAAAATTGTGCCTATAAAATTGCTTGTAATAATATGCATGATTTGCTCATACATACAGGCCTCCAATAAAAACATCATAATAAATGAATATATATACTTATAGGTTTCGGCAAATGTTCAAAGCAAAGTTATCAATAATTTGAAAATGCGATAGAAATTAGGGTTAAGCCAGTTCTGCAGAGCCTTATGAAAGCCCTTTTGGTATTTCGGCAGGCTCTGAAATTTTCGGAAATCAGTATTTAATATATAGCAAAGTCTACCGAAATACCAAAAGGGTTTGCATTAGGTTTTGCGGATCTGGCTTAACCTATATGAGGCCTAATTTCTGTCACATTTACAAATTATTGATAACTTTGCTTTGAACATTTGCCAAGTGGCCGAAATGACCGAAACATTTCGGCTGTATCTATAATAAAATAGATTTCTTTGTGAGTGAGGGCTGGGTCGCGTTTTCCTAGAATTAGCCTTTTCTCACGGTATTCATTATTAAAACAGAATTACTATATACGAAGGTAATTTAGAATCATACTCATCCCGTAATCGTGATTATGCAGGATTAGTCCTGTCCCCGTTGCTATTTTCTGCGGAGTGATGGTACACCACGTGATCGAAAAGAAGAGTGCCACACAAACCATCACGGGTGGGGCACGCAAGCAACTCGAGTCGCGCGTGAAGATCACAAGACGATTGCAGAAGCAAGAGCTCGGGCGTGGGAAGAATCAATCCAAAAGGAGGTAACAATGAAGACTGCACATGCTTGGCGCAATATAAGTGCAAGAGACAACGAACCCAAGCTTCTCCGGCGCTGGAAAAACAACAAGGCGGAATTCGTGCCACCCCCCCCACCCCCCCCAAAAAAAAAAAAAAAGTTTTCCCCCTTTCTTCCCTTCCTTCCTGCCTTCTTTTGGAGGGGGGGGATGACCCCCCCCGCCCACCCAAACAGGAAGACACGTGATTCCATCATTTCTTCACTTGCTGCCTGCTTGCTTTGGCAGGCGGTGAATGACCCCACCGGCTAATCCTACTGAGATTCCCAGTGCAATTACGATTGCTTCTGTCGCGGGATGTCTCTGCCGTTCTGACCAATTCGGTCAATTGCTCGCTTCTTTGTCATGTATTTTGTTAACCTTAAGTTCAATAAAATATCACCTCCGGCATAAATCATCAGCCGGCATAGTCCAAACGTTAAAAGTTGTGTAAAACGAATGCTTTTCGACAAGGTAAATTACCCTGCTTAACGCTTTTTTGATCCGTTGACTATTGTTAACTCAAATGAAATCATAGCGAATCGATATGGTATTGGTGAGTAGATCTGTATAGTACGGGCCCAATTTTTTTAAAAACTACACTTAGGGATGGAAAATTACCGTAATTTTACGTTATTTTACGAAATTTTGTGTAATCTTCTGAAAATCAAAATTACATGT